AGTAGTAATAGTATCAGTAATATTAAATATTTTACTAAACATGCCTATCCAATGGCAAAACTCAGAGCATTCAATAACCACTCAATAACCCTCAATTTTGTTTTGTCTTCCCATGTAGAGCAAATAGGGAATGTTCCTGTCATGTTCCAAAAATGTTGGAAAATAAAAATAGAAACCTAACACAAAGGCTCACGCACAGCTACATACTAAATACCAGCATAGGTCAGTGTAAAGAAGGGAANGAATTGTCCATTCAAGCATTAAAACAGCTCTTTTTACTCTAAATAACACTAATATATGATTATACTTCCCTCTCATATTTGGGGGGAAAAAACTCTTAACAAACTTTATGAACATTAGTGTCATCCAAGGCCTTAGGCTTTAGCAAAAAGGCTTTGATGTAAAAAAAAAATTCAAACTAGACCATCTACTCAACAAATATCCTTCAGTTATATGAGCATTCTATGAATAATAGAACATGGAAACAGTGTAGAAATAAGCATAAACATACATTGTGGACCTTCAGATCATGTAGTACAGAAAACTGGAGCAGACACCTCAAGGGAATATTTCTCAACCTTAGCAACTTTAAGATGTATGGAATTCAATTGCCAGAATTCCCGAGGTAGCACTACTAGATACGGGTCAAAGTTGCTAAGGCTGAGAAACTCTGGCTCAAGTATTAGCATTCACAGATTGCATAAATAACTGAACACAACATTATTCCAGGAATGTAACCCATTAAACAGCTGCATAGTTGTTGCATATATAATGCAAAGATATATACTGCACACACACCTACATATATGCATGGTTTTAAAATTTAAACCAGACCGTAATATTTTATTAAAAAGAGCTATATATAACTCTGTGGATGGCATAGATATTAACAATCAAGTCTTCATTCCCTATCCCTCTAAGAGGGCAAAGAGGAGGAAAACAAAGGAATACAGGATTTGAAACCAAATTAACTCTCCCACAGAATCCAATTAATGGACTGTCTTGAAGAGTCTATCAAAAACAAAGATAATCTAGTTTCTGAAAAATAGATAAAACAGCCATAGTCAAAGTTTTTCAACATTAGGGTAACAAAAAAGTTGAATATGTGCCAACTTTCTCAAAGTCTATTTCCTTAGTCTTCAACAAAGTGCAGAAGAACAGCTGTGTCATTTCTGATTTTATTTGGAAGGAGTTTTGTTTGGACGGTACTAAGAATGATCTTGAAAACACAAAGATACAATGGCAGGATTCAACTGCAGGCGTTAAAAAAGTGAATGGGACAAGCCCTGTCTCAAGGTCGGTTTTTTGACATTATTCTGAATACTCAAAATCAGGACTTGCAAGACACTGACTACAACATGAGAAATCAGGAATTAGCCAGTTACATTCAAGCTCAGGGCTAAGGCTGATCTTAGAAATATGAAACAAATATGTTTGCTTAAGAAGTGGTAAGAACCATCTGAACATTTAATATGTAGACCAAAAAAGTGCTGCTTCAGATGCTAATAGCAATAGTAACTTCTAAATGAAGTTGCAGAGATTTTTTTTCCCATTAATTCATTTTAATCTGAAAAAGAAACCGGGAATTGAAAGGGTAAACCTTAACTCCTTCCCTTAAAACTTTAAAAATGGCCTGAAAAAGTAGGTCTCCCCCACTCCGGGGATCAAAGCTTCAAAGGGGCAATTGGGGATATGTGTACAGCCAACAGTCTGCCCACTGTAGATAAACAACTGATCCACACAAAAGTGTGCTTTCTCACTTCAAGATATTCTGCTTATCAAAATGCCCAGAGTGTCTTATGATGTTCCAATCAGCACTTATTCAACTGCTGTGTTTACTTCAATCAACATATATCTTTTCAGGTTCAAAAGTTCTGTTTAAATGCTGTAATTTATTAGAGTGTTTTGCAGCACTCTGAAAGCAATCCATTTACATCCATTTAAGAATATTTATAAATATAAACAAAAAAATGCTATTGTTCCATTCCATTACTTCCTTCACAATAGATATTAGACACGTGGAGAAACAGCACTCATCCAATTGTGTTAGAGCAATTAAATAATTATCAAGGAGGAAGAAAAGTGTTGAGCAACACTGAAAATATTGTAAAAAGGCAATGTACCTAGAATACAAGTTATTTTAAAGCAGCAGTGGCATAACAGTTTCAGTCAAACCAATATACCAAAGTCATGAACAGATTATTGAATTCAACATTATTTGAGAAGAAATTCCCAAGAAGAATCATATGCATACTTATACACAAAAATATGCATTGGAACTTACCAATACACAAAAAGCTTCTTAAATATCATGAGTTAGAGCCAGCTTGTAACTAAGCCCAAGCAACAAAGATTAGTCATAGTATGCTAACTCCATAATTCTCTGAAAGTTGTTGACACAAAACTTATCTTATTCATGCCAACCATCTGAGTTCACAAGACTTCATTTGACCTTGAATTCCATATCCTGCTTCAGAGTGACATGTTCAGTAAGATAGAGAGATGGTCAAATTTCAATTAACGTGGAGCTAAAATTTTAGTTGAAACTGATCCATTGCCAGATTTTCATCAATCTTGAAATTATAATTTAAAAATGCAGTTTATGATTTGCAATATTAATATAGTCTAAGAATACATCAGGAAAAATGTCTTTAACACCCTTCATGTGCCACAGCTTCTAAAAATAGCTACTTTATATAATCTGGAATGGGATTAGAGTATATAAATAAACATTTTCACACACAAAATAAATTGCTATTAAGCTTTCTGTTATTTTTTTTTAGTATTAAGAATCGAGTTGAATATTTACTTCATGCAGCTAATCCACAGCTGTTCTCTACCAAAGAAGATACTTCGTTAGGAAAATGTAATTAATAGGGACCACATCTTGGCTTGGAAAGCGAACAGCATTAAGTCTGCACAGTACTTGAATGGGTACGAAAATAGAGCAGTTGAGAAACATCTCCGAAGAAGGTAATAATAAGCCACTTCCTTACTGTGGCCAACATATTTATGAAGTCATTAGGAATTAAAGTTGATTTAGATGACACTCGTTTTAATAAATAGAAGTAGCTGAGACATTTTATGAAACCTTCTAAGGCTGAAGACTCTAAAACATTCAAAAATGTCATAGATTAAACCTGTGGCCTATATCCACATCACGTATACTACCATCTCAATGTTTATCAGTCTATTTTTCTCTTATATAAGTTACTGGGAGATGGGGGTGGGTGGGAAGGATACTGCATCCTCAAATAAAAATATAGCTTATAAATAGCACAACAATCAAAATAAAAAGCACACCCTGTACTCCTTCTGGTGATACCATTTCATCATCTAAAGATGTTCTTCAACCTTTACCACCAGACAGGAAAGTAAGTTGGGATCTCCAACCCATTCGTGATTTGGTTATAGCAACAATGAAATGGCCACCAACAATAACAACTTAACAAGATTCCCAATAAATAATAAATAGCAATTACATACACTGAATGATTGGCTTGTCTTCTTGTATATAGGAGTATGTCAATTTGATATTAACTTATATCAGGGTGAATTTTCCCCCAAAACTAAATCAGTATTTTTTATGCAGTATATTTAACAGTTTGCCCTGGTAATTTAGTTCCCACACAACACTAATACATATAATATGGTTTCATATATTATGCAACACAACAAGAAAAAAAAATGGCTTAGCTTTAGATACTAGACTAGTACTTGACCAAACTCTATACATATACACCAAAAAGTTTCTCTCTATTTTCGTTTTAATCATCATAGTCTACAATGACTTGCAATGACCATACAATGTCACTGCAATGCAGTACAATGAATGTACTTCTAAAATCCCAGAATTATCAAAAATATAAATATAATTCTGGATAAATTTGGATACTTTGATTACATTTATATATCAGCAAGTAAACTTTCTATTAACGTTAATTAGAGTTCTAGTAAATAAAGCTAGCAATATCTTTACATTAAAAACAGAAGGAATATTTTCAGGCATAGAAAATATTGAATATAATACCCTTAAATGCATATGCAGTACTTTTGCAGGATACAAACTGTTTGTTTACCCTTATATAACACTGATTGTACACATTAACATAGCATATTGCCAATTTTTGTGTGAAATGCTAAGCCAGGATTTTCAATCATGGTTTGTTGGGTCTCATAGAACATAAAACTATCCAACAGATCTAACTGAGGAGAAAATATAATGTAGTGATTGTCCTTTACATAAATATGTCATGACAAGCAAAGGAACATTTATTATTCTTCCTTTTTCATTAACATAACACCCAAAGACAAGTGAGGAGGAATGTTTTTTCATGAGAATGAGATGAGAGGAATTGCATAGTATGGCTGTGCAAGATATCAAGAGTCAAAGGGCAAAAGTGATATGGAGCACGTGGATCCTTATATAGCGCTATCAGAAAGATCTTAAACAAAATGTGCCTTTTCTCGGATATGTTTATTAGCTGTGAGGGCAGATTTGTGTTAGCCCAGGAAAAGATGAAGCAGTTTTAAAGGGTTCCAGACATATTACTGTTTTCACAAGCTCTGAATCACAGCATCTATGCACAGTCCTATTGGATTCCTTTTAATTTTTATTCATTTGTTAAATCTATAACCTGCCTTTTTCACAGGAGCTCAAGAAGTACATAGCACTTACGCCTACTTTTCCACAGCAACAATCCTATGAAATAGGTTGCGCTGGAGAAAGTGACTGATCTAAGTCACCCCGTCAGCTTCTGTGGCTGATGACAGACTAGAACGGGGGTCTTCAAACTCAGCCCTTTTATGACTCATGGACTTCAACTCCCAGAATTCCTCAGCTAGGCACGCTGGTTCATGAATTCTGGGAGTTGAAGTCCATGAGTCATAAAAGGGCCGAGTTTGAAGACCCCTGGACTAGAACCTGAATCTCCCATGTGCTAGGCATCCAGTTACACTCCATTGGATATTTAGCTTTTCCCAAAGCATGAGCAACTTACCCTTACAAGACTTGGAGCAATAGATGAACAAGGTATCTTCACATACTTCAGGCACTTCTCATGAGACATAAAATTGCAAACTGTGGAAAACAAATATACATGTCAATTTGTATTAAGAAACAGACAAAAGTAAAAGTCCCCCTTAGCCCATTCATTAAGATTCAATATAATGTGTTCTATGAATTCTTTTAGTGTCTTGATTCTCCTGCCAATTAGCTTTATTGGATGATGCTTTGTACAGATAATATGAAATATGGAGAAAAGCATCTTATTATCTTCATTCAATGAATAAAAATATATAACAAAAATATAAAAAATATAACTCCTTGAAGAGTTATGGCATTTCCTCATGGAAAAACAGCTCCCACTCCCTGATTCTTTAAATTTATTTTCTGTAGAATGTTTTCTGATATCCATGAACCAGAGGTATACATAATTTTCCAGCATATCATTGTTTTAAAATTAGCATTATAGTCTTGAATATTTTATTTTCAGTTTCTTTTCTAAACTGACTTTGAATTTGTCTCTTTCACAGCATTCTACGCTCTTCAAACTACAAGTAAAAGGTATAATATATGTGGCAACATAAACTCAAATTATGCAGGTGAAAACCCAATCTCTCTAAATTTCCAACAGGCTCTTTTCCAACTGTGAGTATGGACAATAAATAGAAAATAAAGAGCAATATAAATGTAACTTCTATTATTACACAAAACTAACCTTAAGACATTTTTCTGGTTATAACAATAAATAGACATTTTTAATAAACTATATAATAACAACAACAACAACAAAGTTGGAAGGGACCTTGGAGGTCATCTAGTCCAACCCCCTGCTCAGGCAGGAAACCCTATACCATTTCAGACAAATGGCTGTCCAGTGCTGTCAACTTCCAGTGTTGGAGCATTCACAGCTTCTGGAGGCAGGTTGTTCCACTGATTAATTGTTCTAACTGTCAGAAAAGTATGTGTCTAGATATCTTTATATAAATTTGTATTTTTGCTTACAGAATAATTTCTCTCATTACATGATCTCTTCAGTATAACACATATGGCCTTGAAATTATCAGCTACTAGATAGAGAAGCATAGTTTTTTTCGTCTCTAGATGTTAAGGTGAAGTACCATTAACAGTTAATTTTTCCTTTCCAACTTGTTTTACGTCATGCTGATTAAATTCTCTGCCAGCTAAAGTAACAGGCAAAAAGAGGATAACATAAAGTTTTGTAAAGTGTTTGGTTCAGATAATTACTTGAGAACACTGCAATGTAATTCAAGAGAGCAGAAAGCAGAATAGAGGAAAAATATTAAAGTCTTAAATGCATAGATTTTATTCTTTGCTGTAACACTTTAAACCAAGGGGTTTTAAATTATTGCAGGATGCAGAACCTGTTCATTAAAAAAAAAATCTGGCATCCCTGTTCAAGAGGAGTGAGGCTTCTGATTTTCTCCGTTAGAAACTAAGATTTGAAAAATCCTCCTTTATTCCAAAGTTGATTTTATAAAAAGGGTTGCTATGCAACAGGAATAAAATAATTTGGCAATCAAAAAGGACAAATTTCAAAACTTGCTATATCCAAAAGAATATTTTATAAATGTCAAACAAAGACAAATATTTTTGTCTGGCTTAGGAAATCATGCTGATATAATAAACACAACTTCTGCTGAAATGTTTGGGAAAGCAAGTTTGCAATACTATATAAATGAGCCATTTTAAATATATATTTACTTATTATTTACTTATTTGCATGATTTCGACTGAAATTCAGAATCAGGAACCTTTTCTCAGAGTTTCCTCTAACAGTTATTATGAATAATAGACTTTTCTATAATGTAGTGGATGACCTCAGAAAAATGACACATTACTATCATATTTTTTTTTTAAAAAAAAAAGTGAAACAGAACATTGCCATAACTACCCCCTTTTTAAAAAAAAATATGTTAAATGAAAGCTACAAAATGCACCTATTTTGCATATATATATATCCAGATACTGTATAGGTTTCACCCATAATGGCTGGATGAAAAGGCTGAGAAAGAAAAATGGCTCTCCGTGGGTGCATGGCTGGTTGGGAAATCCTGGGAGTTGAAGTCTACACATCTTAAAGTTGCCAAGGTTGTGAAATACTGCATTAAAACATCTGCGCATGCATTCCTCCAACTATTTCTCTTAAAGAGTTGAACTACATATTGCAATGACGTTCTGGAGAATCATCAATATAAAAATAAAACACCCACAAACAATCATCTTCCAGGTTATATTATGTTACAAGATCTTGCTCTGGATTCCAAATCATCCAATGTGAATTTAAAAAATCTCTATTTTCTCTGTAGTATTTTCCAAACCAATGAACACCCCCCCCCCACGTCCTATGATTTCTCTTTTATTTGCATGTACATGCCTCTCTCTGGCAATCAGAGTGTAATCCCAAACAAGGGGGCAGGGCTTTGTTCTTAAAACACCATATTCCTCTGTTTCCTAATTAAACGGTAGGATATTTCACTGATAAGTTCCCCAAGCTGTTCGTTTGTTGTATAAATCAGGGCAATGTCACAGTCAGCTACATTTTCTGTGCTGTTAATCTAGGATAAAATAGTAGGCAATTATATCCAGTTATGCAGAACTTAATTTCAGCATGAGACATGCAACGAATAGTTGTATAAATATTAACTTGGGCTAGAATTCAATTTTAAAAATTACTTCCATAATTTTAATTACTTTAGAATCACTTTAAAACCGCCCAGTCGGGTTTTTTTAAAAAATATATTTAAAATTACTCCCATAATTTTAATTACTTTAAAGTTTAATTACTTTAAAATTAGTTTAAAACTGCTTGGAGGTGCTAGGACTTGGGGGCACATACATTTAATAAATTATTATTACTTTAAACTATAGATGCTGACAAAAGTTCCAAAGAAAAGCAACAGCAATAACACTAATTCTGGCTAAATTCCACAAAACTTCTTGTTTTTTTTAATAAATTTTACACTACTTCCTGTTTCACAAATGGTTGTCTTAAAGCAGTGAATGCCATGGAACTCTTTCCATTGAAGTACATAAATGACAAGACAAGAAACAATGGATGGAAACTAATCAAAGAGAGAAGCAACCTGGAATTAAGGAGAAACTTCCTAACAGTGAGGACAATTAACCAGTGGAACATCTTGCCTTCAGAAGTTGTGGATGCTTCATCTCTGGAGGTTTTTAAGAAGAGACTGGACAGCCACTTGTCTGAAATAGTGTAGGGTCTCCTGCTTGAGCAGGGGGATGGACTAGAAGACCTCCAAGATCCCTTCCACCTCTATACTGACTGACTGAGTGAAATTGGCAAGATCTTCCAACTGCTTCCCCTCTCTTGCAACATGGCACATAGCTCAAGAGTTTACCCATTTTTAAAGAGCAGCTTTTCTATGGAGAATATAGGGAGCCAAAAAAGTATGACATATCTTTCCCAACCCAATTGAAGGTTGCAAAGAAATAAACATAAAGGGGCTCAAGAATTCTGTCCTTCTATCCGTGTGTCTATCAACAGAATAGCTCTCCAAAATCTGAAAAGATGATACAGATATCTTCAACTTACAACCATAACTGAGCCCAGAATTACAGCCGTAAGTCATGCCAGTTGTTAAGCAGGTTACCATGCGACCACGCCCAATTTTACGATCTTTTTGGCAGTGGTCATTAAGCGAACCATTGCTGTTGTTAAGCGAATGCTATGGTGTCTGCAATGGATGTTTTTTTTTACTAGAAATCAGAAGTAAACACTGGTTTCCAGCAAAAAAAAACTTAGTAAATCATGGTCAGGTGAATAAATGTGAGCTGGCTACCAAGCGCGCAAATGCAATCATGTGACCACATGGAGAGGGCAACCATCAGAACTTCCAATCTGTGTCACAAGTAGCCTTGGGGAGGTCAGTTGTAATTTTTTGTTATAAATCAAGGATTACATGCAATGGTGGGAGAAGCTGGCAAAAGAAAAAGCAAGTTCAAAAACTGGCCATATCTGACTTGAGGCTATGCAGAAAAATATTCCAGAAAAATCCCCCCAATTCATCCTCATAAGAGAAGCCTTTGAAGAAAAATTTGGAATGCTATTGACCAACCTTCCATTTTAAGCCCCCACCCCTCCTCCTTCCTGTCATGTGACTCAGAGCATGTGCAGCCTGGCCTGTGCTTCCCAGTGCTCACACACAGATATACGTTGATACATTGACAAAACGAGAGCAGGAAATAAACACAAAAATGTCAACACATAAATCCATTATACCAGTGTTTCTCAATCTGAGCAACTTTTAAGATGTGTGGACTTCAATTCCCAGAATTCCCCAGCTGGTATGTCCCTCTGGGAAATACTGGGAGAATTGAAGTTCACACATCTGAAAGTTGCCCAGGTTAAGAGCAGAATTTTAAAGATGAATTTTCCTTATGAATTTGCTTAACATTTGGCGCTGTTTTTTTGCCCCAATGTTTCAGCTACTTTTAGAACCAATCTAGAAGCTGCAGAGAAGAGACACTCTCCTCTCTTGATATCCCTCTCTTGATATCCCTTATTTGAGATAATGTGAGGTACAAAAATTCTGCAATTTATTTTTTTCTTGGCCAATGCTCTACCTGCTTAATTGCCAGCAACAGATATATTTACTGTTATTTCTTTCACTGGCATATAGTTCTGAAAGAAAATTGGAGAGGATGACTCATACTCATTCAGCCCTCTCAAGAAACTTGAACACCTTGGGTATGCATAAAGAAATAGGAACAAAAGAATAATAAATAATAGTATTTAAATATCTAACTCCATCTTATAGGGTGGGAACACCGAATTATACAGGTCTTGGAGGGAAAATCTTTGTCTCCAGCTTATCTGCAATTTGGCTTTTTTGCAATTAAACTCAAATATCACAGAAACTGTAATATGTAATATTATAAAAGCCACTGAAAAGTCACGTGAAATATCACAAAAGCTATAACCTATAGTTAACTGTTTAAAGATTGCAGTTAAATATTCCCTATTAAAATAAAGGACAATGTGTAAAATAAACTCAGCTGCACTGTTTATACTATCTCTATTAAAACACCTCAAT